GATTTTTTTGGTCGCGTTTTGATGCAAAAAATGTCTTCCATAGACCATGAGGACCGTCATTGATTTTCTTGGAAACATGTATTCTGCCAAAATAGGTTGTAACTTGGAGCACACAAGTTTCTGTCTGGGAAACTCGTCCGTACGATGTCAAATTCGTATTTGGTGTATTCCATGAAAAATATTCCGTTTCATGATCAGATTTTTGCTTCCCTCATACGGAAGCAAAAAGTTCCGATCTTGGTTATCAAAACTGATGTTCACGGAAAAGTCAAAATCGGCGATGTATCTCACAATACAATACTCATCGCAGGTTTACCCATTTTTTATTTCGAAGTCGCATATTTAACGTTAGTTCAAGTTTTCTTTCCTCATCAGGCTCTTTTATTGTTAAAGCCCCAAAAACAACGCATTTCAAGCGTGGTTCGAATTTTCCAACAGTTTTCCTTGTTCGAGGCACCTCACTTGAAACACAGCAAAGCATATACTTGTTGTACTATGCATGTAGGAGACACATACAGTACTTCGAAAACCCACACTTATTTGTGGATATTCCGGCGTGTGGGAATTTTGAACGTGAAAGGAGCTATAGCGAAGAGGAAGCTTGACACAAAAACCGATTTTCCAGCACTTACATAACAAACCAAAACACCTTCATAACAGCAACCTCACAATAAGAACCTCATCAGGGCATGAAGTAAGAGTTTTAAATTATCTCCAGGTCCTGCATTGTCAATTGCTGACTGCAATACAAAGTGGCTGCATACATAGGAACTTATCTAACGAAATGATCGAACTTTGGGAGAATTTCCATGCGCTAAGCAAGATTTACCAAGACGCTTTTAAATACTATGTTCAGCAAAAAGCTTTTCGCAGGAAATTCAGAGGAATTCATCGCCTACAGCCCCTCTGAAGAACTTGTACATTCAACTACACACAACTCACCGATATACAGTGAATCGTAAGCACGAAAACGCTAATTAAAGCTAGCCAGATAATGTCATTTTCTCACCTACCCAAGATTCACAAATTTTAAAGCTCGAGATTGGCAGGCAAAACTTGAAACTTTTTTCGTCTTTTACAATTTTCCAATCGAAGAAAAAAATCGAAAGTTTAACCTCAGAACTTGGGGGGAAAACTGTGCATGTTTTTAGCTGAAAGTGGTGTCACATTATGTATCACTTCTCTCCCCCAACTTATTTCATCAAACAGCAAACTATTCTATATATGCATATCTTTTTTTCATGCAGGAAATATTGTACACAATAAAACGTTATTCAAAGAGCAAAAAACTGAGGGCCCCTGTTTTTAGAATTGCCTTCAATGATGAATCCTCTGATTTATGGCGGTTCATGCGGGATTGTAAAACCATTTGTGTCCATCAGAAGGTCAAGCAACAGCAAGACAGTAATTCAAAGTGTGTGGCTCTCCTTGCTGCAGCGGATATAAATCACTGAACACACTTGTCCATGCCCTTCAAACTGTGATTAGAATGCAGCAGAAGACTACCCTTATACTTGAAGTGAATTTTCCAGCAAGTGACTGGCACGCAGGTAAGAATGAGGAGGATGTGATTAATGTTGAGCTACAGAGTTATGTGAGCAAGAATTAGGCTTGGTTTAGGTTGAACGTGAAGGTTCCTGGTTTCCCAGAGTTGCTGCCTGAAGTCAACTTGGAGACTCCATCCATGCAGGGTCCATCCAAGATGGCGAGTGATGTGGCATTAACTCCTTTGCCGGCGGACAACCCCGCCATCGCAAAGAAATCGCTCCCGGAATTGGTCTCCACCGGCGCCCAATTCATTGGACCATAATGGAAAGTTGCAAGAACAAATGCGTCAGTCACAGTAAGTACCAGTTGAAAAGTGTTGTGGGCTGTTGGTTGAAAAGTGCGACTTCCTTCGGCCCTGACTTTGTTCCAAGTCACAACCAGGGCCCATTCAACAGTCCGCTCACCTGAAGAAGGGACACCATTTGGATAAAGAGCACCATACATTTCAGCCTTTATCAGTGTCAATTCGTCAGTGTTACTGCTATTGATGATGCGGTAGTGGACCGATTCGACTTCCGTCATGCTCAAGTCAGTCAAGAAGGGGTAAATTGTTCGCGTGTTGTTAGACAGGAAAGTCGGCGGGTCACGGCAATTTCGAAGTGACAAGTTGGCTGGCGCTCCTTCATCGAAATAAACTATCCCATTTGCGGCAATCGTCACTGAGCTCACGAAATCGCCTAATACATAAATTTGTGCTGGAAAGGTAAGTTGGAAAGAAGTGCAATTGTCAGGGCATCCAGTCAACGTCTGTTCCCCTGCGACTGTTGGCCCGAATCGGAGGAAGTTTGGCAGCAATGCTGCATCAGGTCTCTTCAGAATTGATGCTGACACGCTGCTGCTTCTTCCCACACTGAAGATGAATGTTCCGGGTTCATTTACGTTTGTGTCTTTGACAAAATCTCGGACCGCAGAAGAGGTACAGGATTGTTTCAGCTTCATGAATTTGGTCAACTTTGCAATGTTCCCTTTGCCCCCACCTGCAGTCAAAAGAGCAAATCCATGCGGAGTCGATTTTGCTGCTCTGGTCCATTGCAGAGTTTGGTACTTGAAGACAACAAAGGAATTGCCCGAGGCATCCGAGAGCAGAGCGAGCTGGAATGTGTTCTTGAGTCCCTGCTTCTTATTCAGTCCGTTTCCTCCCACTTCATTCCAGGACACAACAAAGGCCCAAACAATGTCCTTGAGGTCGTCGATGGAGTTCGAGAAGGCCCCCCTGATTTGCCTGGAAGCCTTTGAAAAGAGGACAGAGTCATTCTGGGTCTGCCAATAGGTGACGTTGCCAAAAGTGCGAGTGTCCACGTCAGCCCAAAATGGAGCAATCATTGCAAGGGCCTGTTCATTGCACTGCTTGGGCGTGTATTGTGTCAAAGGTCGGGTGAATGTGATGAGTCCGTTGGTGCTGACAAAAGCTGAGGTCATGTTTATACCAAAAAAGTTGAAGCGCGTGGTGAAGCTATCCACTTTGCTACTGGTGCAATCATCGCAGCGCGGCAGTTTTTTGACAATCGTGGATGCACTTGGGACGTACAATTCCGTATTTACGGCACTCTGCTGAATGCGAGAAATGCAGCACATTGGATCGGGTGCTTGAACCTCTTTCAAGTCCAATCTAAAACCGTTTAGACCTACTAATGATAATCCTGATGAATCGATATTATTCCGCCGCCCAGCATTCCATCCAGCCACGGTGGATGATCCGATCAGTTCAAGGGAAGCATCTTGACTAAATACCCCGACTGTGGGAAATGTGAAGGAATCATTTCCAGGGATAGTCATAGGTGGCTTGAATCGAATCCCCAGGTAAGTTCTCTGGCCTTCGGCACACAAGTCAGAAGTGATGACAAATTCTTCCAAAGTCCAATTTGCAGTTATGCACCTAATCCCAGTGAAGTCTTCTGTAGGAAAAGCTTTTTGAAAAATTAATTCTTTTACTGCGTCCAAATCAGTATTCGTGGACTCTTTCAGCGTGAATCCCGTGAAAAACGTCCCTGGTCCATCCACAAGCAAGGGTGCAATGACGATGGAAGCATTCGACGGAATAAGCTCAGAAGTATTTGTATCCTGGAGAATCAGTGCACCGTTTTGGCTTCCCCAGACTCTCCCGACCTTTCTGCCAAGAATTTGCATTTCCACCGGCAGTGTCAAATTTTGCAGGGGACACGTCAGGGCGCTACGTATCAATCCTCCCGCTAATTCTTCACAATGGGTTTTGTCAATCAAGTCTCCAAACAGCAGTGTGACCAAGAGAAGAGAGGCCTTCAGCAGCCATCTATAAACAATTATAAGAAAAGACATGAAGAAAAACAAGTACATTTCTCCAGTGCAGCAACAGGCAAATTTAAAAAAAAATCCAATTTCTGACCTTGCTTCCTGCATCAGTTATTGTGGTAGTTTTGGGGCATCACATCATCAATATGAAAAACCTATTCATCAAGTCATTGGTACTAATCTACGGTATTAATCAATTGGCAATTTTACATAAAATAAATGCCATCCTTGATTATTGGAATTCTTTCCATTTAGTATTAAATTTCATAGCGAAAATTGATCTCAGACTGTTTCAGAAGACATTGCGTGTCAAAGTCAAGCATTGTTTACCATGTGCCCGAATTAGCACAAAAGCTGGTAAAGATTTCGAATTAGATAAAATGAAACACTTCAATCAGGTGTGGGGTGCACCTGGGGATCTTGCTTTTCAAGATCCCAAAAGTAAAGTTATAAATATATTTCAATTAACCCCAAGATGTCAATCACAGGAAAATCACACAATCACAACCGACTTCGATGAGATCTAACAGAGTACTGATCTTGATTGATGTAAAATGGCGGCTTCAATTCTCTCCAGTAGAATGTTCTGGAATGTTCCTGTGGATTCCTGAAACTAATCAATCACACAATCACAACCGACTTCGATGAGATCTAACAGAGTACTGATCTTGATTGATGTAAAATGGCGGCGTCAATTCTCTCCAGTAGAATGTTCTGGAATGTTCCTGTGGATTCCTGAAACTAATCAACATTTATTATTGCAGGTGTTTGCAGTACCCGCAATCGGAGGATGGTACGATAATGTACCAAATTATTCCGCCACAAAATCCCCCCTTGGTCTGTCACGGAGCAAAGGCTCTGCGGTTAAGTGCGCAACAAAATAGTCAGAAACAAAGCTGAAAAATAAATTTCCAATTCAAAGGAAAACAGATAGGTTTGATTTGGTTTGGTTCGGTTCGATGCGGTGCAGATGATTCGATGCGGTTTGGTCGGTTCGATGCGGTTTGGTCGATTTGAATGATTCAAGAAGTTGATGCGATGCGGATAAACGGTTAAGATTAGCATGCAATGAGATGTGGGAATGAAGGAGAGATGCAAGTTTGACGTGTGTGTGAACATCTTTGCAGAACAAAACAGAACAGAACAGGAAAAGAACAAGTGAGAACAAGTGCAGTGAATGCAGCATGAAACGACAAGAAAGGCAAAGCCCAGAGACGGAAACGGCAGAGGGTTCAAAGAAGACGACAAAGAATGCGTCTGGAGCACCAAATGCAGGTATGTGAAAGACAAGGTGCAAGGAACCGATATTTCATGAATGCTTGGTTAACACAGAGTTCGAAGAAATGACGGACATGCTGATGAAGCTGGAAAAGAGCATCGAACGGCGGAAGAAAGAGGTAGCAGATGCTGCAAAGAAGAAGGAAGAAGAAGAACAACAGAAGAGAGAGACGGAGACGATCGTAACAATGGTGCAAGTGCCAGAAAACACCTTAAAGGTACACCTTCTGAAAAATGATATTGTGTACATGCATTTAAATTCGCTGCACCACCTGAAAGGTGATGGAGAAGATCGAGAAGCTGAACGACGACGGCTGGAGACAATTGAAGAGGTTTTTGGCCACAGAGGAAACATCAGACGGAGCAAAGGCAGAGGGAACAAAACAAAGAAGAGCATGCAATCAAGATGACGCACAGGAGACGGCGAACATGCCCAAAAGGATGCAGAGGGCAATAGAAAACCGAAAGAAAGAAGCGTTTGAGATGATTACAAGAATCGACACTGAAGTGGTAAAACATGCACTAAGGAATGTTGGTGAACGATTTTTGGTTGACAATAAGGAAGGTACAGGTAAAAAGAACAAGATGAATGAATGAGTGGGAAATAAAAACGTTGTTGATCAACAGAGAAAGTACAAACGTTCGAAATCGGAAAGACGCGCATCCATACTGGGAAGTTTGAGGACCTGATGAACCTGTGGGAGAAACAGACAACAGGCGACGGACGGGAGAAAGAAGAAGACAGTGATGAAGAGGAGAAGATGGATGCAGAAGGATCAGGTGAACCAAACGGAGCAGAAGAACGTCAAATGAACGTGGAGGTGATGGACACCCATGAAGAGAAGAAGGACGAAAACGTACGGCGTCCACTGA